GCGGCGACCAATCAGCTGCGGGTGTCTCTGTGAGTGACGTTCGCCGGAGCCAATCGCGGCGCGGCGTTCGCGCACGTCACTCGATGGATGACGGCTCGGCCAATGGGGTGTCGAGATTGTGCTCCGGGAGGGGCGTTTCCGAAGGAGAGACCTCGAAGAAGCTCGGGGCCTATTGCAGCGGGACTAGGGTTTCACTGACGTCCCTGACGACCAATGTGGGTATTCAGGGGCAGTTCGGGCAAATCTAGAATGACAACCCTGCTGATCAATGGGCTTTGAGTGTGTGCTGAGTGACCTGTTTAAATTGCCCCATGTTTTATTATAAGGAGGCCGTTATGTGGGCTGACACAGACTGTAAACAGACTGCTATATATCCATTGTTTTAATGACAGCGTGGTTAAAGATAGACTCACCTGGCTGTTCTTATAAAGGATCTTTTCACCTGGCTCAAACGTGTACGGTGTGCAAGCTGTTGTCTTTTGAATCCTGTTGTTATTCAATGCATTCCTGCACAATAGGCTGCAGCTTGACCCTGAGAGGCTCTCTGACCCAGTATTTGTTCTTTTTGCTTGTGTAACAGCTAATCCAGTGGTGGATATAGAATTTTAGTCATTAGGTTAGTGAAAACAACAATATCTGTGGCTCACCTGGTGGCTCACCTGGTGGCTGGGTCCTTACTTGCCCTTTTTCTGCATTCACCCCTCATATTTACTGTCTATGTTCAGCTGTTTCTGTCTAATAAAGGCCATAAAAGCCCCCAAAAACCTTTAAAACACTAATCTAATGTTAAATTATTAGCTTTTATTTATTTATGTATTTATTTATTATACTGTATAATATATTGATATGAAAGGTGATGCTAGTAGGGATGTGACGATACATTCAAGTCACAGGTCCACGATATTATTTTATCACGATTTTTTTAAACAAAATTATTTCTCAGGCAAAAGTCTATAAAACATATTTTCTTTACTGAACTATAGATGATATAATTTCTGAGGCATTGTATAAACTGTGCAAAAACAATGCATATTTCCTTTTCTTTGTAAAAGTGAAGCCGACGTCTTTGCGCCTCGATACAGCGACTGACACCAGTGACGTAGAACAAGCACAGTCAGACTTGCATAGCGCCCACTGCTGTTTTAAAATAGTATCGTGGTTTAACTGTTTTTTACGCAGTGTTACCTGAATAAAATGAGTTTAAACATTGTTGGAAACATTTGGGATAATGTAAGAACGCAACTCAGCTCCATATACAACACAGGTCTGGTGCTGCAGACAGTTTAATGTGGAAATGTTACAGACTGCGTCTTTAATGAACAAAATAAAATAAAAAATATAACTTCAGGTTCTTAGAAATGTGGATTTGGATGTTGTTTTGTGCAGAACTCATCTCATTAACTGCTCAGCTAACCTAAAATTTAGCAATTAGCAGCTGAAGGAAGAAGAGCAGCAGCTAGATGTTGTTGGTTGGTGGAGACCAAACACAACTCCAATGGGATGACCACAGTGTTCCAGGTGTACTGGATGAGTAATGGGAGTAATGGGAGTAATGGTTTGTGTAATATCAGGACTGTTTATAATGTAAAGAAACCACAGAACTACCTGACACAGAGACAACACCGACTGCATGATGAGACTAATTTTTGGTCACAACCAGGCTTGGAGGATTACATGTAACTGAGTTATGTAATCAGAATACCAAAAAAAGGTAAGTGTAATCTATTACATTATTTACATTTACATTAAAATATACCAGTTGATGATCGTTGATGCTTCTGATGTCTTAAAGAATACACACACCTACATCATTACTTCCTATTAATATTTATTACCTCTTGTTTTTATTTACATATTTGGTGTTGAGGTAATCCAGAGGTAATGGAAAGTTACATTACTTTAATGTTGTAACAGGTAATTAGTGGAATTGTATCGGATTACCAACCCCGATCACAAAATAATCCAAAGAACAAACCTCAAAAATGTCAGTATTAACTGAAAACCGTCTGTAGTCAATCTGGTCTCTTGGACTCAGACCAGACTTGAACACTGAAGACTCGGCACTCGTCTGGTTTGCCGTTTGGCCACAACCCACCGAGAAAACGACCAGCTCTGCCACTGCAGGCCTTTCACCCTGTAGAGGAAATATTCCAGTCGTGGCTGTCAGTCCCATCTGCCGTCAACATCCGCTGAACTGGCCTGCAGCACTTTCAGCCAACATGTAGGCTACAATGAGCTGTCCCTCCTTCCCATTGGCTCACTCCCTGTTACTCCTTTCACATCCACAATGCATGCAGCCCTTTTCATATAGGCTTTTTCCCAAAGAGTGCACTTGACCTTATTCACAGTCATCTCTGTTTCTCTCCATCCCCTCCCTGCATCACTGCGAGGGCTTTTTTTTTAAAGTGCTTAGGAAGCCAGAGTCCTGCTTTTAGCTTAAGCACTTTCTCCCTCTCCACCTCAAGTGAGCTGCAGTTGGCGGTGGAGGATGCAGATACTGTCTATCACCTTCTCCCCAGGCACCTCTGTGGAGAGCCTCAGAGAGAAAAGAGCTGCATAATTTAACTAAGATATCTCACTTTTTTTCCACTTAACAGGCTTCATGAGTGAGCCAAAGCATTATCTGGAGAGTTTTCAGCCATAAACATTTCCAACTGAATGGCTGCTGTTAAAAAATTAAACACTTTCTATGTCGTGAAACCTAAACCAGAGACTGTGAAGCGTCTTTACAGTGTTAAATATCTGCATTCATAATGTCGCACATCCATCTCCATGTCGGCTGCTAATGGGCGTTCACTTGCCTGTGAAGTAAACATGAAACATACAAGATCTGAAATGCATATTCAGTTAATTGATCGAGTACCAATTAATTGGCTAACATTCTGATGATCAGTTAATCGTTTAAGTTATTTTTTGGGGAAAAATGTCCCAAAAAAATGTTGTTTTCAGCTTCTTAAATGTCCAGTGTGAAACATTTAGGAGGATTTAATGGCAGAAAGTGAATGTAATATTCATAGCTATGTTTTTAGTAATGTATAATCAACTAAAAATAAGAATCGATTTGTTTTTTTTACCTTAGAATGAGACGTTTATCTACAGCAAGTCTTCTACGGTTGGTTCCCACCACGGTTGGTTACTGGTTCCCAACCTGGAACAAGCAAGGGTTTAATATTTCTTATTTTATTCTGGGCAGTGTGACTCCCTGAATCCCCAAAGAAGGAATTATTATTACTTCTTAGGCTGAAAAAAACATCTGAGTATTTGAGAAATTTCCCCCCCGAAGCTGAAAACACGTCTCTGAAAATGAAACTTTGAAAACAGCAGCTTGAAAATAAAAATCTGAACACAAGGTCCAGTTTACTTGTTGTTTCTGAAGCTCTCCTAACCTAAGGCGTTGTATGTCGGTCACATATATATAACACTGTTCATGCATTCATTAGTCACATGATAACAAAATGCAAAAATGAAAATGTTTTTGTCAAAGGCTGTGAAAAGATGGTGACAGACACCTTCATGTAACTAACTGAACACTAACACAACAAATTATTATTATTATTACAATATAACAAAGATTTTTTTCAACAAATGATGCCACACACACCACAAGTTTATTTTTTCCTCCTTTTTTTTACTGAAAACGCTGAGCCAGTCGCCAGCTTCAGGGTTCTGAGAAATAGAATGAGCAAAATACACCTGGGCATTTCAACAAAACTGACAGGTAAAGACGAGTCGTGGAAGATATACACACTTTGACAGGGCATTGTGGGTAAAAAAAAAAAAGAACAAAGAAGAGACATCTGGGCTCGTAAACTCCCAGCACAGTAATGAATAACAAATTCATTATTTTAATGCAAATAAACTCCACGTTAGTTTTGTCTCTTCTGTTGTTTTTTATTGTCTAAGACTTCAGTGCTTTAATCAGGACACATACTGAAACATGTGGTCATCTTAAAGGGACAGTTCACCACAAAATCAAAAATATACCTGTTATTTATCCATCTAGATCAGTGGGTCCCAAGCTTTTTCCTTAAGGGACCCCTTTTCCATCATTTAGTAAACTGACATATTTTATAGATATTTCATATTGTATTCAAACTGTACAGTGAACCCAAACAGCAACAACTCAGTAACAGCAGGAAGTTTTCATAAAACAAGTGATTTGGATGAAATTTGAGCAGATTATTTCCTGTGTAGGGAACTTTTTATACAATTATCTGTCTGTATTATGTATTTCTAAGAATCATACAGACTTACTAAGCTTCTTTTTAGATAAATTCAGTGTTTTCTTGTCCCAGGCACTTGGCCATTGTTTTATTAAACAATTTACTTAACAATTTACATTCACATTTCTTCACAGAAGTAACCCAAATGCTGAGCTATAGGTCTGCTGTGTATTTTTTTAAAGTTTTCTTACACTTTTTGAATTCAAGAAGGCGTCACGACACCCCAAAAAGTTTTGGCGACCCCTAGTGGGGATCCCAAGCCACTGATCTAGATCAGGGGTGTTTTTTGGAGATATTGGCTGTAGAGATTTTTGCCTTCTCTCCAATATAATGAAACCAGATGGCACTCAGCTTGTGGTGCTCAAAGCGCCAAAAAAATACATTTGAAAAACTCAACAGCGATGTCTCTTTCCAGAAATCATGACCCAGTTACTTGTTCATCCACAGACCTTGTTGTGAGCAGTTTCATGTAGGAACTGTTTTCTGTCTACCAAACTACACCCGCCAATGTAATAATGTTTACATCCTAGAAGAAGAAAATAGTTCTTACATGAAACTGCTCACAACAAATTTGACACTTTGAGCACCAAAAGCCCGAGTGCCAACTGGTTCCATCATAGTGGAGAGAAGACAGACATTAGAGACATATCTCCAAAACTTGACAACTCACACAAAAACAATCCAAGTGGATAAACAGCACTACAGGTAAGAGGAAGAATATGTATTTTTGATTTTGGGGTGAACTGTCCCTTTAATATTAAAGAGAGGCTCCCTTTGTGCATTGTTCTTCAAGTCCAGTGAGCTATCTGGAATAAAACTGTGTTAAAATCAGCTGTTCGTATTGTAAATTGCATTTCTGATAGATATTTTTTATCTTTGGTTTTTACTCCATGTTCCTGTGAATACCTGTTCAAATGTAAACAGGCGAAATCTTGTCATGTCAGAGCAACAGATATCAAATTATATACCAACAGGAGCCTCAATAGGCGAAGAATGCACTGCAACTCCAGGACATGTTGTGCTATGAGTGTTGGACACAACTCCTGGCCGATCGGTACTGCATATGTGCAACTCTCAGCAGAGATGAAAAGGAAACAAGATGGCTCGTTAGCTACTTCCAACATTAGCTCTGGAAAAAAACAACGTGTTTAATTCAGAATTAATTGATTAAGACTTTTTAAAACGTCTTCTTGGAGCAGTCTGATGATATGATGACTTAAGCCGGAGATATACTCGCTGTTTAACCACTTGTTCACATTGCGGTCCAAACGATACGGGAGGCCGTCATCATAGGGGACAATTATCTGTACTATAACTCTCATGCATCCTGCTTTAAACATAGGCCTGAATTACCTTTAGAATAGAATAAAATTATACATGTGTTTTCTTTGTTTTGATATCAACATTATATATCGGCCATCGGCAGCCATGCTCTCTAAATATCGAGTTTAAAGCACGTATACCTCCTTCCTTCTAAGTACATCTCATCTGTAAGCATGTGTGAGACACACAGGGCCCATACTGTACATATGTAGCAACAACAAGCACATTTTTTAGATAACTAAGCTAATGTTTGAAAAAGTGGTTCCAAATTTTCTTTTAAGTTATTAATATTAGCTCCAAAGCTTCAAGGGCGGATCTACCACAGTTTGGTGTCAAATGACACAGAAATTCTGATTAATTTTTCACAATAATGCATTAAAAGACGGAAATTAATACACATCATTTAATGATGTTATGGCCACATATTACACCAAGGTCTGAAGATTTAGGAATGCCAACTTTAGATGTTTCTAGTCAATGCTTTACTGCCACAATAATATAATGTTTAATGAGTTCACACATTTGGGGTTTTTTTTACAAGCAAATATTGGTATGTGATTGTTTGCAAGCATATATTTCTGCCACTACGTGAATATCTGTCTAAATCCGCCCTTACGGAGCTGATAATTGAAGTAGCTAACGAGTGAGACATCCTGTTTACTTTGTTTCTCTGTTGAGTTGCACGTGCTTAGTACAGATCTGACAGGAGCTACAATTCACACCATGAAACCTTTATCTAAAGGTTGTCAAGAGGCATTCTGGGATAGGAAATCAGTAATATCTCCTGCAATGCGGACTGTTTGAATGGTCGGTTGCCCTGCCTCTGTGTGTATATCTGTCCTGAGGGCAACTTTAAATCCAAAAAACCCTCATTTTAACAGACTGGAAGGAAAAACAAGGAAACGGCAGCAAACAACAGTTGTACAAATTGACCAGTGCATTGTGTTTTTAAACGTCCAGTTCAGCACGTTCAAATCAAGTTCATTATTCACGTTTTCCTTTTGTTTCAAACCAACATCTCTGCAGTCCCTCAGAAGACGAGGCTGAGTCCTCTGCGTCTGAACTTCTCATTGACAGTTTTCCCACTGGTCCCTCTTTTTGTTAGTCCAAATCAAGAGAGAGGCGGGTCCATCCAAGTCCATCTGGACACAGAGATTTCCAAGGACTCTGACTGGCTGATGCTGGCAGACCAGAACAGATCAGTCCTCCATACAGAAAACCTAGGCAGAGATAGAGGTTGTAGGTTAAAATAAAGCTGCATTCACACTGCATATCAGATATATTAGATAATAGACCCTCCTCAACATGTGTTAAAGGTTAGAAAGCCCTTTTAAGCCACCCTGCTCTGTTATGCAAGTGGACATTCATGTTATTAATAATAGCACAGCCCTTAAAACGTTTAATAAGAAACGTGATGTGTGCTTAAAATTCAGAAAATATAGTAAAGCACTGTAAAAAAAACAATGAATATTTAAACCAACTCCAGGAAATTCAACTTACTGAGCATCTCATTTTAAAGTCGAGGCTTCAGAGTTCAGTACACTGCAGTCCATGTTTTAGTTATATCGACATCGATATATGAAAAGATAAATGTCGGATGTTTTAATGTCTATGTAATAATTTATTTATTTATGTGTTGTTTTTTTTTACTAAAGATGAAGTTTCTTGGCTGTCCTAAGGATGCTTTGAGGTTTTTACAAGTAACTAATGGATCAAAACTTTAAACATTAATATAGCAACAAACAATTATTATCTATATAAAGATTTAGTGGAGTCTTGGCGTCTCACTCCCTCTGCCTGAGTTGTATCGATGTTTTTATCATCTACGTCGGTGAATCATTTATTTCGATGTTGGAAAGACTAACAGAGAGAACTAACCCTAACCCTTTTATTTTGTTTCTGTCCACTTTGAATAGTTACGGTAAAATGAGTGTTTTTGTCTCTGGAGGTCTGGTGGAGAGTGATATGTGATATTATGGCGGTTTGTGGTTAAAAAAAGGTCTATCTCTGTAGGGATCCTTTCCATAAATGATGTCAGACACTGACAATAACAACCTGAGTCTGTCAGTGGGCAGAAAAGAACGTCTTTGCAGCCCTTTTCCCAAATATTTTCAGCTTAACTTATTGAATTAAGGATTTATTTCAACCAGCCCTAGCTTTGGTGGTTTTTGGTGATTTTTATTTCATTTCTGTCCCATTGTTTGGTCTGAGAATGCTGGTGCTCTAGTGGGCGACA